GAAATTGGGAGCCTATAGGCACCCACACTCAGTATAAACGCGGATTGTATAAATGACAATATTATTAGACCAGCTAGCATTGTTAGTTACATTAAAATTTAGTCAAGAAGAACATTATTAAATATAAATAATTTCATGTTCGATGTATAAAACGATTAACAAACAAATATATCATATGGATATTTTCATATTTGATGTACACGATTAAAAAAACAAAGGATTGCTTCCTGAAATTATTATATTTGAATTAAGCTCTTGTGTTACAATTAACCTTGCATCGGTTATTTGTTTGCATTGTGGTAACAATTTCCACAATAATTCAATCCTCGTTCTTCTTAATTGTTCGAAGTTCAAGGAAATAATAAATTCTGCAAAAGGTGGGGTAATAAAGAGGTCAGGCCAGGATTATCGCAATCGCAATATTACCGGACAAACACATTAATGCAAAAGCGAGTTTTTGGTGCGAAATGTATCAAAAGTTGGATTGGATTTTTTAACAAAACTGAAAACTGGTTTTATTTGTATGTTAAATTCAGGATCGGCTTATAAGCCATAATGTAAATTAATTTTATTATAATTTTATTGTTTTACTATACCAAAGAAAATACAATCTTACACAAATTATTTATACTGGCTTTGGAACAATGTTCATAGATTGGGAAAACAAAAGGAATAAAAAAAATCAGAAAAAGAAGGCATACATCCCATATTAGACGCCAAGGATACAAGCACTTTTAGATCTGTAGCTTGGAAGGGAGAGTACAACCCCTATATCTTTTATTTTCTTAGCACTGACGACAAAGGCCAGCCTCTACTACCATCAATAAATGACATGTCAGATTTTTCTCATAGCTAGCGATATTCTGATCAAAATTGGCATTGGAATTCCTGTTATTAGATCGTTTCCACACCCCAGATAAAACTTTACGAAAGCTTTTTTTCGTCTTTATAGAGGAGGGATCTGGAATCTTCAAAAGACATCTCCGTCCAGGACGCCGCCTGACTGACCTTAGTGTAAGATTAGTTCTTCGTACTCCCAGTGATAGTTTCCGAGATACTTTAAAATGCCCTCTCGTCGCGGAGTCTACGCCGAACGCCTACCTGCTAAACCAGACCCTCCTCTGTCATCCAGCGATTCGGAAGAGTAATGGCCGCTGTAAGGCCGGCATTACTTCCGAAGCACTACCTTTATTCATCCACAGGCTGTCAGCAAGGAGGCTTCCTGTCTCGTTCCCGGTAGCGCGTGGAAAACCCTCATCGCTCCTAGTACGGTATCACTCCCAGACGGGCACTTCCTCCTTCCCCACAGTCTAACTCACACAGTCTAACTTATACAGTCTGAGCCACTTTTCTACCTTCAACTTCCAGCATCTTCCCCTCTTACCTTTGCCGTTGGTCCAGCTGCCTTTCTTCCTCTTTTTTTGTTCCTCATAACTGCACGGATATAGTAGTATATACTAGTCCAACCTGCTTTATTTTCTATTATTTTCTCAATCATTTCTCTCACTGTAACAAAATTCACACCTGTCTCTCTTTCCATTCTGTTCCTTTCTATTATCCATCTGTTGCATTCTAACATCGTATGTGTCACAGTGTCCGATGTCCGCAGTATAGGAATTTATTTGTGTCAGCCTTTCCGAACCTAGAGAGGTAGGCCCTAAAACACCCGTGTCCTGTGAGCAGCTGTGTCAGAAAATAATCCAGTCGCCTGTGGCCATTTTTCAATTGATCTTTCCCTTTCCTGTCTTCTCTCGGCCAAAGTAAGATTTGGGCCTCCTCTCTCATAGAGCTATTTTTTCCATCGCCAGAAAATGCTGTAGCATTTTCAATTTCATTGATTCTTTTGAGTATATTGAAACCTCCTCGTATAATAAAATATATTAAAAACTCCTTATATATATTTAAAAAATAAAACGAGGAATTCTCCCGTGTTTGTTAGTTCGTATCTTTCAAAGTACCCAAAAGTGTTCCGTCGCCGAGTAATAAAACCATTTGAGAGTTGTTTATTTTACTTCTGCAAATTATTTTTATGTTGATGCGTCGCAAAAGGATATGTACGCCGTTTCGTTGATTTTGCTATGTCAAGTGTTTGTTTATTTTCAAGTTATGCGATCAATTTTAATAGATAATTTCGTTACTCTCGTTGGAACCGCGAGCAAGAGCGGTTCAGCGTTATGTCCAAATTCATGTCGAGTTTGTAAAATTTTCTGTTTTTTTCGTTGATTGTGGTGGAAATGGGTAGCAGTAGTGATGGATTTTATCCAGTATGAAGTGACCGGCATTAATTTGCCGGGAGTAGTGAAGTTTTCGCTCGATATTTCGAGATTTTTAAAAGTCTGGTTCCTGTTGGAGGGTTCATGTTTTTTTTTGAGAGTTCCCGTTTTCCCTGGTGTGTTCCGGCCCCCAATGGATGTCCTGTTCCTGTTTCGGCCCCAAATGGATGTGTTTGCTGCTGATCTCCGGATGGATGCTACAGAGATATAACAAGTTCTTTTTGTGAAGTGGAAATCTGTAAATCAAGGTAACTGTTTTTTTTGTGTTCAAATTTTAAACTAAAGACAGACAATTTTTTTATGAAATAATAATTGCTTTCGTTACATTTAAAATTGTAAATTTTTGGTTTTGAGTTGAGCTGTCAATTTATGTGTTTAGTTTTTTTTGCTTTTACTTTGTTTTGTTAAAAAAAAGGTTAACCTCCATGCAATTTTGTAAGTTTTGTAGCAACAGAGTTTGTAAGCGGATGACACATCTAAGTTTTTGTGTTTTGTTTTTTCTCCATGTAACTGTTTGTGGTGACACATAAATAAATGTTAAATTTTGTTGTCTTAACATTTTATTTTTTTTTTTTGAACTAACACTTTTTTGATTTTTTTTTTAAAAGATATGTTTTTGTTTGTTGTATAATTATTTCCTAGTTACAACTAGTGGTTGTAATAGGAATGATTAGGCACCTCAAGTGGCGCCCTATATTAAATTCCTTGAGGTGTTTCTTGTTTATTTTTATTGTGTTTGTTCCAAGAGATTAATGACCCCTTTATTTCATTTTCTTGTAGTTGCCCCATTTCACCCCCCTTATCTTTTACTTATCCACGACCCCAGCTCTCCTACCAAACCCTGAGTGCCGTTCGCACAAGTAGCGTTTATTTTGCTTGCCTTATCTTCACCCCCAATAGTTTCTTCCCCCAATTTTCTATCCCCTGTATTAATGCCCCCTGTGGTAGGCAAAATATTATCGTTACAATGCAACGGAACACATCCAGTGACATCTACCGCCCGCTCGAGACTGGTGCCGCTTAAATACAACTGTAAAACAGCGTGTAAGACCCTCTTGCCTGTAAAATCCTTTCGGATTTTGGTCCCCTAATGTTGGGCATTACCCTCTCCATATTTACAGTTCATAACCCCGTCATATGCCAGGTTCCATAGCGTCGGGCAGAAGACAGATCCCTGAGGGACCCCAGCCGTCACGTCCACGATCGTGTCCTTTTCCACCATAATCTTTCTCTCGGACAGATACTACGCCACCACATTCATCAGGTAACCAGGACATTCTTTCTCCTCCTTTGCCTTCATTACCTCATTCCACTGCAGAGTATTGAATGCATTCGTAACATCGAACAACAGCAGGGATTCTGTTGCGCAATTCTTCGAGCACACTCACGATTGCTTTTTCTTTTCCAAAAACCAAACTGTTTCTGAGATAAACGACCTGACCTCTCAATTATGTCGTCTATACGTACTCGCAGCATTTTTCATACAGCTGTGAAGCAGTACCAGCGTCGATGTCCTCCAAGGCTCAGGAAAGGTTTATGCTTCCAGCAGTGCATTCATGTGTTCCAGAAGCCATTCAGGCTCCGCCCGTTCTAGACCCTTCACCGTCTCAGGTGGTATCTGATCCAGTCCCGGGGACCTGCGCGTCTTAAGTAAACCCAATGCCTCGACAAGTTCATCCATGGTAAAGGCTCAGCTCCCTCGTTCCTCCATACTCCATGCCATCTGCCGTCCGGAAGAGCTCTCGTGTTACTAACTTCACGAAAGGTCACTGGCCTGTTTTCACTAGTAATCTTAATAAATTCTTAGCCTGGATCTCACCAAAACTACGAGTGATTAATGAGAATAACAATGACAGCATCGAAAGCAGAAAGTCCTAGAGGGCACTAAGAGGGTACAAAGAGTATACTTCTGAATGGTTTGAGGACAGCGAAAAACTGCAAGGAGGTGTCAAACTGTAATTAATGCTGCTGAAGGAAACACAGATTAATAACACATTTTTTGTTAGATTTGTATGTTTTATATTGAATTTTTCTTAAATGTCCAATAAATTAGTTTACTTCTTAATTTTTCTTTGATTATATCATCATAAAGAAATCATAGTACACTAAAACACTAAAATTAAGCTGAATTTATTGTTGACTATCCATATTTTATAATGATATGTCATGTCACGTTTTTAAATCCATTCAAAATTTATGTATTCACTAGTAGAGACTATTTTTAACTGATAAAACATCATAGCGACGCGACGGTACGTTTCCTACTGACAAAACTCCCTTCTGTCCGTGATTTCTCAGCATCAAAATTATGACAGATCCGTCAAGAAGGTGTCTGGTAATTCTATTGTTATAAGTTTGACAAACGTTATTGAGGCGTAATGTATTTTTGACAGATATAATGAATCCAGACGAAAAATCAGGATTTGGATGCCAATCAAGTGAAGAAATCGAAAAATTGGTTTTGGAAAATGTACCATTGAAATCGAAAAGGTCCAGAAGCTCTATTTGGACCAATTTTCGGAGTTTTAGAATTGAGAATTTTACGCTTGAGAGATGTACTACCCTAAATTCTCGAGGATTATGCCTTTAACATGAAAAAGGCAATAGTGAAGACTCTAAAGAGTTGTCTGTAAAGTCAATGTGGAATACTACAGCAAAAATGGTACAAGAAAAATATTTTACGAAGTATCGCATAAAAATCGACCCTTTCATAGATATATCTTACAAATGTGCAAAATTGGCTGCTTGGGAGATACCAAGCGGAGGCAGCTTCAAAGTGTTCAAGATAAAAGAAAACTTAGTTCAAAAGCATTATTCACCGAAGAACTACTAAAAATCACCCAAAGAAATGAGGAAACCTCCGATGGAGCACAAAAAAATTTTTTCGCCATTGCTCATTTGAACTTGCTTGGAGAGGCAATGAGGTCGTAAACTGCAAGATTCACTTTCCAAAAGGAATTGGATGTTATGGGAGAATTTACGGGCCGAATTGAATACAACAACATTTTTTTCCAAAAGGCGGTTCGAAAAATTTGGCAAGCAGCAAATAGCTGGTAAGAAATTCATCAAATGAAAATTTATGCGCAGTTAGATTATTTTTAAAATTAATGGAAAAAAGAGGACCAAAGATTTTATCAGGCAGACTATTTCTTACCGTTGTCTTACCAGAAATGTCAAAATTTGATTCGCGAAAATTGCCAGGCAACAAATTTTTATACCAGTCGATAATATGACCGGTAAAATTTTATCTATTATTATAATATGTATATACCAGAAAAACACTTTGTGTTCCTCAGACATTTTTGATGTGTTTATACCAATGTTTATGTTGAACATTTCTAAATCCAATTTACATTCGGTTGATACTCCACTTATTTTGATATGTTTTTATTTTCTGTTGACGTTTCGAGTTCCAATTTGGAAGTTTTCAGACAATTCTGAAATAAAAATTGTGAAAAATAGATTCTTAACCTATAAAATGTTCGTCCGACCCTGATTAAACCTCTGACAACCGTTTTTGCAAATTGTATGCACACACATATATAAGGAAAGAAGTAAAGGATTATGTTACACATTACTGATTATTGTTCGCTTAAAAAATAATAGTATTAATACAAAATAGTCATCATGAAGTTCTTGGTTTTGAGCTTGGCCTTTGCTGTTGCATATGTGAGTATCAAATCATTCAATTATACAACAAATTATTATTGTTTACAATACCAAGCTGCTTTTAATTGACATGTCCATCATGACATTAATTTTTCAATACATTTTAATAAAAATTTCCTTATTGGTACTACATGGTAACAACTACTTATAGTATAACATTTGTTTAATTCAATATGAACAATTAGGTATATCTGAAAGTTAAAAATGTGAGTTTTCACAATATTTTCTGTGTACTATTAATATCTTGGGTTAAACTGTTGAACGTCTTCCGATTTAAAATCATCATCAAACTTTTTCTCTCAGACATTGTCATCTAGACGTTTTTCTGCTACTATTACTAAGGATTTCCACAGTTTTCTCTGTATGCCATACATCAAAGTTCTCTCCAGATCTTTGTATACTGTCAATCTCCCCTGACCACTTTTTTTAGGGGGGTCTACTATTTTTTTTAATTTTAGGATATCATTGAACCTTAAAAAAGTAGCCCATAGCTATTTTTTTAACCCTCTAGGTGCCCTGGGCTTGAAATATGCCCCTCAAAAGGGCAGCCCTTTTTACCTTATGTTTGAAGAGCTATATTTTTATGCCCAATGGACCAATTTTAACTTACAATATCTTCTTGTTTGTTATAATGTCAATTAATTTTATGAAATAATTTCCAAAACCACAAAAGCTAATTTTTATTTTATTATTCAAAAAGAATGAGAAGAAAACTTTTACTTTTAAAAACAAAATTTTATGATTTTCAATTAGTCAAAATTAGTCAATAGTCAATTTCGAAAAAAATTGTGGAAAACGGCATATTAATATATTTTTAAATATCTTTTTAACGATCATTGATAAATTAAAATCCATTGAGCAGATTCAAAGAGACAGTTGTTTAAAAATAGTAAGTTTTTCCAAAATCGCATTTTTTTATCACTTTTAAACTGATAATACTTTTTCCTGATTAGGTATCTGAAATTGCATAAAAATTTCAATAAAGGTACTTCTACATGTATAAAATAATGTCTACTTATTGAATTTTTTGGCCTGGAGCTTTAATTATTTTTTTTTGACAGCCTTAAAATTGTGTTTTTGCTTCATAAATAAACCAACAAAAAATATCACCTTGGGGTAACGTGAGTGTACGATTGGCTGCGTCTGCTGGAGGAATCTCTATGGTATTGATTATATTTATTTTATTTACCGGTCTACTTGAATTTACTGATATTCTTACAAAGTATGAAAGTAGAAGTATGTGCTTTTTTAGATAGAGTGTTCATTTAAAAGTACCAAGGCATAGTCGTAGGGATGCATTTTGAATTGTGTTTAGAGACTTTAGTGATGAGTTACTACCATAATTTTTTTAAAAAAGAAGTAGCTTCTTTAATTCTAGGATATTAATAAAAAGATTAATAGAAATAATGTTGAGGCTGGATATGTTGGTATCTGCGTTATTGGAAAGATTCGGAATATTTGATATACCTGAAAAGTGGGAGGTAAATATATCTGTAATATATTGATCATCGGTAATTGTTCTATTCTGCAGAAAGATAGTAGCAATTTTGCTGGAAGTATTATGACCATCCATACATCGTATCTTTGTCCACATTTTTAAAGTGTATTTTGTGATTGAACTAACGTACTGATTCATTGAGGTTTTCTTACTTTCTTTTAACATACACCTTAAACTGGCCCTAAGTTTTTGAAAATTTATTAGGTCCGTAGTCATACGGGTCTTCCAGAATTTCTTTAATGCTTTTTTGTATTGTTTGACTGCTATTTTGCAAGATTAACTCCACCAGGGAACATGTTTTCTGGAAGGACCAATCGCGCATTTACCAGTACATTCCGCAGCAGATTCAGTTAAAGAGTTTTTTAGTTAATTAATTAATTATTTGGTTTTAGGCCGCCATTACTCCCGAACAAGTTGAGAAGATCAAAAGTTTCCACAAAGAATGTCTTCCAAAATCCGGAGTTAATCCCGAACTGGTTCAAAAGGCAAGACAAGGTGATTTCACCAACGACCCAAAGCTGAAAGAACATATCTTCTGCGTCTCCAAGTTAATCGGTTTCCAAAACGATGCCGGTGAAATCCAAGTGGATGTACTTAAAGCCAAAGTGGGTGCTGCCTTAGACGATACAGCTCTTGCGGCCCAGTTGATCGACACCTGTGCTAAGAATCTAGGAGATGGACCCGAAACGGCCTTTGAAACCGTCAAATGCTATCACGAAAAGACGCCAGTTCACCTTAGTATTATTTAAATATTTGTGATTTTATTATATATAAAAAAAAACTTCTTTTTTGAGGGGTGTTTAAAAATAAATTGTTGACCATTACATCTATATGGTTTTTATTGTACCTACATATGTATATGTAAAAACAGAAGGGTAAGTAACCTTGTTAATGACCACAAAGAGGTAATCGTGGACAAAGAGAGTATTTATAATACCTGGAAAAATTACATACGAAATTTATTTTTTGATGAGAGGCAAAACCAGTCCCTAATACCTACGGAAATACCAGGACCACCTATACTAGTGACAGAAATAAGAGCAGCCATAATATCACTAAAAGAAGGGAGAGCTCCAGGACCAGACGGAGTACAGTCTGAATTTCTTAAACTTCTTGATGATGAATCTTTAAGAATATTTTGTAAAATCTTCAATGATACCTATGACACAGGTAATATTCTAGAAGATTGTCTAGTTTCAGAATTTATTACGTTATTACCAAAGAAACAGGGAGCGAAAAAGTAAGGAAAATATAGGCTAATAAGTCTAATAATCTATTTACTAAAACTTCTTCTCTCTCTCCCTCTCTATCTCTCACTTTATTTTACATATTTAGTCGCTGTTTAAATTGTTCTAACCACCATTTTTCTAGTATCTACTTCTGCACGGCGATGATTTCATCTTCACTCTTATTGATGATTCATCGTCATCCCAATCCATGGTGGGTCTTGGCCTGCTCAAGGATAAGTCTCCATTCTCTCCTATTCTTCGCCTTGGCTTTCCAGTTTCGTACTCCAAACCTTTTCAAGTCTTCCTCCACCTGATCCTTAAATCGTGCTCTGGGTCTGCCTCTCCTTCTCACTCCATCTATTCTTTGAATATAAATATGTTTTAACAGCTCCATCTCATTCATTCTCTCTATGTGGCCTAACCACCACAGCTGGTTTATTTTGATAGACCTAATAATATCAGGTTTGTCATACAGGCGGGAAAGTTTGAAATTATAGCGTCTACGCCATAATTTGCCCTCCTGTATTACTCCATTGATATGCCGGAGGATTTTACGTTCAAAGTATCTTAAATATTCTTCATCACTCTTTGTCATCGTCTATCTTTCAGACGCGTAGGTGACGATGGGATTGATAAGAGTTCTGTATATTAGTAGTTTCGTTCTTTTTGTAACTAGGCTTGTTGTTAAAAAATTTTGACTCCATAATAGGCTCTACTTGCCAGATATATCTGTCTGTTGTATGTCGATGTCATCGGCGTACGCTAGTAATTGTACGCTGCGATTAATAATAGTTCTTCTGGTTGTTATTCCAGATTCTCTTATCGCTTTCTCTAGTGCAATATTGAATAGAAGGCATCATAGGCTGTCTCCTTGTCTATATCTGAGTCCTATTCTTAGTCCTACCTGAGACTGGAACGTTCTGGAAACTCCGTTCTGCACTCTAACTTTACACTCGACTCTTGAGAGGGTCGCTTTCACCAATTTTACTAAGTGTACTGGGATGCTGAATTCTATCATGGCCTTGTACAGTGCGTTTCTTTCAACACTATCATAGGCACATCTAAAATCAACAAACATGTGATGAGTATCAATGCCATACTCATAGTTTTTTCCAGAGCTTGCCTTAGAAGGAATATTTGATCGGTCGTTGATCTTTCTTTACGAAACTCACACTGATATTTACCTATTATGTCTTCAGAAAATCCCGATAGTTGTAAAGAATATATGCCAGTATTTTGTATGTTACGTTTAGGAGGGTTATTCCTCTGTAGTTGTCACATATTGTTTGATCTCCTTCCTTGTGGATATAACTACAATTATACCTACATTCCAGTCTTCTGGCAACTTTATTTGTTTCCAGATCAGTTCTACTCAGTCTACATATACAGTACGTCAGGATTTTTTGCCATGCTTTAAAAGTTCTGAAGGAATGCCATCTGCCCCAGGAGCTTTGTTTTCTTTCAATTTCTGTATAGCTTGGATGACTTCTACACCTCTGTTGGATGTTACCTGTTATATTTTTTATGTTGTTCTAATTTATTGTCTTTATTCTAATTTATTAAAACTCACGATAATTTATTATCAATTTATTAAATAACTGTAACAACTATTTAGTACGTTCGTAACTTAAATACGCGGACCGAATTTATCTTCTTACTTGCCCTTCCTAGATAAAAATCCATGCCATTTATACGAAATGCCGTCTCATAGGATCTTTCGTGAAGTAGACGGAAGTTGACCTGAATAGTCTCGACTGTTTTTTTATAGCGGCCTGTTTCCAGAAAGATCGACCGCTTTCATATCGGAGGGTAACACATACGGTCAGTATATGTCTGCCAGCTGATCGAAAGGTCTCGTCCATTCTACAACATATTTAGTAAATAAACAACAGTTTTACAGGTTTATTTTAATATGACTAATTTTTACGTACCATATCTTTCTGTCTTTCACCGTCAATGTCCTCGAGTTAGATTTCTGATTCGTGGAGCCCTGTCTCACCTCTTATATTTAGCCTTTCTCGAAATTTTCTGCCCATCTTTCTAGTATCTGGTCATAATCACCAATGATCTTCCCTGTTCTATTTCTAACGATTGATAGTCTAGGTTTGAATTCTTTTCTGTTCTGGATAATCCTCTTGTAGAACTTTCGCGTTTCTGCTCGTGCCTTATAGTTCTCTAGTTCTTTTAGTTAGCTCTCTATATGCTCTTTATTCTTTTTTTAAGTATTCGTTTTTCTTCCCGTCTCAGTTGCCTATACTCTTCCTCTGTTTGTCTCGTTCTTCGCCCTTGGAGTCTTCTACATGCCTGATTTTTTGTTTGCGTTGCTTGTGCGCAGACCAAGCAGACAACAGAGAAAAGAGTCCACCAACAATAGCAGAGATTAGAACAGCAGTGGACAAATTAAAGAACAATAAATCACCGGGATCGGATCAAATATCATCGGAGCTACTGAAAGAAGGAGGAGACGCATTACTTAAAGCCATACATGAGCTGATAAGAAGGATATGGTTGAATAAACAGCTACCAAAGGAGTGGAATAGCGGCATTATTGTACCACTACATAAAAAAGGAAACCAGTTAGAATGTGAAAACTACCGTGGAATCACGCTGTTGAATGCGGCATACAGAATAATGTCCAACGTAATGTATGAAAGACTTAGACCATACGCTGAAAAAATAGTTGGCAAATACCAATGTGGCTTCTGTAGACAGAAGTCAACAATAGACCAGATATTTGTTCTGCGACAGATCCTTGAAAAAACAAGTGAATATAACATCGACACACATCATGTCTTCATAGACTTCGAAAGCGCATATGACAATATAAACCGAGAATTCCTAACAAAAGCAATGAAAGAATTTAATATACCAACACAGCTAATAGAATTGATAAAAGAAACACTAAAAGTAGAAAGTAAAATCCGGATACAAACGAATTAACGAAACATAGATGTGAAGAAGGACTACGCCAGGAGACGCTCTATCATGCATATATTCAACACATACTTGAAAAAATAATAAGAGACACAACAGTTAATACCCGAGGAACAATAATTAATAAAAGCGTGCAAGTACTAGCATTTGCAGATGATGTTGACATAATCGCAAGATCAAGAAGAGAAATGATAGAGGCATTCACTCAAATAGAACGAGCTGCAAAAAATAGTGGTCTTAAAATCAATCAGACAAAAACAAAATATATGCCTGCAAATAAAAACGCACAAATAAGGCAGCTGCCAAATTTAACAATAGGAGAATACAACATTGAGGCGGTAAAAAACTTTACATACTTAGGATCCCTAGTTACGTCTGATAACAACGTTGCAGAGGAAGTGAAGAGGAGAATATTTATTGCCAATAAATGTTACCAGGCTAATTAGGCAACTAAGATCAATAACGTCTCCAGAAAAACAAAATGCCAAATATACAAAACCTTAATAAGACCGGTACTCACATACGGTTCAGAAACCTGGACACTCTCTAAAAGGGAGGAAACGTTATTAGCCACCTTTGAAAGAAAAATCTTGCGACACATATATAAGGGCACAAAAGAAAACGGGATTTGGCGGAGAAGGTATAACTTTGAACTATACAACATATACCAGGATCCGGATATCATAACATTCATTAAAATAGGAAGGCTACGTTGGATTGGACATGTGGAAAGAATGGAAGAAGGCGAAATACCAAACAAAATATTCAAACAAGTGCCAGTAGGAAAAAGAACAAGAGGAAGACCGAAGCTGAGATACGTAGAACAAATAGAAAATGATATAACAACATTAAAAATTAAAAACTGGAAAAAAAAGCACGAAACAGGTCAGAATGGAGAAGAATCTTTGAACAGGCCAAGACCCAAAAAGGGTTGTCGAGCCAGTGATGATGATGATGATGCTTGTGCGCATTCCTATCGTACCAGTATAACCTTAATATTTTACGTTTTTGTTTTCCGATAACTTTAATTACCACTTCTTCCAATATAGCTCTACACTGCCTCCAATAGTTGTTAATATCTTCAACTATAACATCCGTGCAGCCTTCCAGCTTGCTTTCAAGACTTTCCTCGAATCTCTTAGCTATCTCAGGGTTCTTCAACGCTTCTTCTTTGAACCTTTCCTCTTTAACTCCTTTTTCTTTCTTTGCATTGGAGATTCTAGCTCTTTATTGATGATAAAATGTCCACTATTCTCTTTAGGATATCCAGTTATCCAAACTTATCCAATTTTTCGCTTCAAGAAATATATTCTAGTAAGGTATAGTAATTACACAAGAGAGTTTATTTTGCGTTTTATTCATACATCTATACAAAAATAATTATCACAATTTACACATAAGCCTAAAAATAACGTAAAGAAAATAGTCAAGATATCTGTTTGTCGTTATAATTATGAAAATATATACAAATAAATTTTAATGTAAAAGTATGTCTTGTGAAATAAAAATAGAAATTTATCAATGAGAATAAAATGTTTCGAGTAATAATCAAAATCAGAACCGTTTTCATTGTAGAAATATATAATTAGAACAATTATGTAACTGAAATATTGAAGCTTTTAATAACCTTTTATTGAAATATATGTGTAAATATTAAGACAATA